ATAGTCTAGGTGCCCAAGGAGATGTGTCTTGAGTGTGTGTCTTGTCTGTGTGTGTGCCTGCCGGTGACATTTCACTTTCTGCTCCCATCTGTCTCTGCGAGCGAGTACCTATGAGCACAGGATGTGTCTCTGCACCTATGTGAGTCTTATTAGTGGTACACGCATTTTTATCATCTCCCCAGGGCTGCGTCTGCCTGAATGTGCCTGGGCGTGTGTGTCTGTGTGTGTGTGTGTGTTTGTGTGTGTGTGTGTGTGGTGCACGGAGCCACAATAATAGTATGTGAATAGTATGTTTCTGAAATCTAGATGTTAAAGGAATAATATGGGGAAAGACGCCACAGGGATACTAAACCCTTTGCCCTTCATCTCATCCCCCCTGACTTCGGGAGAAGCGTGGATTTTGCTTGTAGGAGCTCTAGCATACAGTTGCTCCATCCTAACAGGAGCTCAGCCTCCCACCTGCCCTCCGCTTGGGCTTCCTTCCTCCCCAGTCTCTGGAACCCAGGGAGGCTGCCTCCTCGCGCTGTCTCTAGGCACCTTGGCCATGATGTCAACCCAAAGGAATCAGCATCTTCATCTCCTTCCTTTTTCCCCCACCCGAAAGGCACTTCCTCTTAGTTCATTACCTGGGATTTTGATGTCTGCCTTCCCTCGGCATTATTGATACACACTCACAGAGAGAGAGGGAAAAAAAGGAACTTCTTGAAATTCCCCCAGAAGGTTTTGAGAGTTGTTTTTAATGTTGCAACTTGGAACCAGTCAGTTTCTAGTTTGAGTTTCCATCAAACTCTTGGTAGGAGTGGGGTATATAAGCTCTAGCAGCAGCAACAGCAGCAGAAGAAACAACGGTTTCAGGCCCGTTGGACGCTGCAGCCTGGCCAGAGCAAGGTAAGCACTTCCCCGTCCCCTGCTCCCGCTGCCCAGGTGTAGACACCATGACGCTACCCCTGAGCCTGGCAGTGTGGGCTCAAGCACCCCTGGTGACTCACCTGCTGGGACGCTAGTGAAAACTGGGTACTTTAGGGATTCATGTGTAAATTGTTGATTTAGAAAGTCAACTGATAATTATTGTGTATAAAGGTCTGTGAACAAATGCCCATTTCATAGAAAGGTTTGTTTTATCTTATTACGAAGTGGTATATATATATATATTTATATATATTATATATTTTATATTTTTATATATTATATATATTTAATATATGTTTATATAAATATATAAATATTATATATTTATATATTAAATATATTTATATATTATATATATTGTTTGTTTCTAAATATGAATGCCCATCAGTTAAAGGATTATACAGAGTTAAGGTCAACGGTGTTTGCCTTAGTATTGAAACTTTTAAAAATGCCTTTCATGAATTCTTTAAAATAACTGAATTCATAATTATACTTCGTAACTGCACATTACAGATCAGACTTGCTGCTCCCATTTTTGTGTTGAGCTTGGTAGACAATTATGATAGCAGCCAAATTGACAGCTGGGTTCCCCAGTTCTTTTGGATTAACTGACTTTGGCCCTATTTAAAATTGAAAAGTAAGTGTAATGTTTAACACTATTTTCTAAAGAGTTCTTAAATCTATGAGAAGCGGGGGTGGGATGGGGGAGATAATCTTTTCTATGCTGGAGTCTCATACTTGCCCAGGTAAAATTGTGTGCAATATCATGATCAGGTTAAAATAATCATTTTAACAAGGTATCATTTTATCAAGATATCAGAATTTGATCTTAGAGTTCATTTGGGGGGATCTGATTTTTTTTTTGAGATGGTCTCATTCTGTCGCCCAGGCTTGAGTGCAGAGGCGAGATCAAACAAGCGGATCCTCCTGCCTCAGCCTCCTGCATAGCTGAGAATAGAGGCATAAGCACCGCCACACCCAGATAAATTTTCTATTCTTTCATATACTCAGGGTCTTGCTATGTAGCTCAGGCAGGATATGAAATTTTGTGATTTCTTTATATTCATTCATTCTTCTAATAATTGATAGAGTCCCTCTAATGCTAGGCTCTAGGGATAAAGTGTGAAACCAGACAGACATGATCCCTGCCATCAGAGAGCTCGGTGTGGCAGGAAGGCAAGCAGTGAAGAAGTAACTATGTTATTGTCACTGTTATTTTGGTAAGTGGTGTGGAAGGAAGAGAGCAAATAGAGTCCCGGCTTCCTTGGGCACCATGCTGGATATTTTACATGAATTGTTTCGTGAACTCCTCGCCATTCTAGGATGCCCATTTTACAGATTGAGAGTATGAGGCTTAAAGAGGTCAAGTGACTTGCCCGGGGTCACGCAGCGAATACATGGCAGAGCTGAGTTGCCAATGCTAGAAGTCTACCTGGCTCTAAAACTGGGCCCTTTGCTTGTGCCACCCATGCCAGCCGTGACTGTGTCTTTTAATATTTTTAATGATTCTTATTAAAAAGAAACAAAAAAAACCTGAAAAGAGATGCCCACCCAAGTGTCATTGGTGTGTCCTTATTGGTACTAGTGTAAAGGAGCCCTTAGAACACCCCAGAAAGTAGGAGTGCCTAACTTGGGGTCCCTTCACCCCTCATGCAAGGGCTTCAAGAGTTTATAGAATCTATGAAATTGCATGAAAAAAAATTTTTTTTTAATTCTCAAGATTCTTAAATGTACCATGCTAAGGAAATGTGGGCTGAGAGCTACAGCTTCCCAGTATCTGCTGATCGGCCAGAAAGCCAAAAGGTGACCACGTATTGCCCCTTTCTTGGCTTCTCTGGATTTGATTAGGAGGGTGACCCACCACCATCTCCACCCGGCCACTGTTCTGTGGTTGAAAGTGTAGGAGATACTACAATGGGAGCTGCTTCTTAGAACCATCACCAGGGCTCTCCCTCCCTAGGCCCTGATGCAGGTCACCTGAAATTCTTAAATGCATCAGAGGCCCAGAGAGGAAGTTCTGGGCCCATAGCCAAAGGGAAAACCCCAGTATTAAAGAGTATAAAGGAATCGCCAGGAGATGCCAAGAATCTCCACTGTTTCCATTCCCAGAGTGCGACATCTGGGTTTTACAGACCCGTGCAACTGCAGTACTGCTATGGGCATTTCCCTATAGCCTGGCACGATTTCTTTGGCTCTCCATTATATACAAAACAGAAAGATATCATATCAAATTTTCACCTTATTTCTTCCTCTAGGGACAAGCTAATATGTTTTGATTATTTTCTATAATATGTCATCGCATTGCCTTTCCTAACAACTCTTTGAGATGAATATTATGTCCATTGTATAGATGAAGAGACTGAGGTTCAGAGAGTAACTTGGCCAACATCACACAACTAGTGAGTGGTAGGACCAGAATTCAAGCCCATGTCTGCTTGACTCCAAGCCTGTGAATATACTAACGAATGCTCTGTACCAGCTAGTACTTCCTACAGTCATAACCTGGACTGAATTGATACCCATGTCCCTAAACTCAATGCTTTAGTGACAGAGAATTGAGCAGTCTACAAGAAGGCCTAACTTCTAGCCCTGTCTCTGCCACTTGGAAACTTTATAATATAAGAGAATAAAGGGTTCACAGTAGTTCTAACAAAGATGTGGTTTGTCAATACTCAGTCACTCCAGCCAAAGAGTTCCCACTTTTAAGGTATTTGACTGAAACATTTGAGCCTTGTTCTTCATGTGATTTTCTAGACACGTGGTTTTGGAAACCGTGTTCCTTCAGACCATTGGTGCTGCACAAGGTGGATGAAGGTGTCCCTGAATGAAATCAAACAATGGTCACCTCTACCCCATTCATAAGCGGAGTGTAATTTTTGCAGTGTGAAGATTTTCATACACTCTGGATACAAATCTAGACTAAGTTTCAATATAAGATGGTAGCTGATTTAATACAAAATTATGCATTTCATTATTTCATGGTAGATATATCAATATTTTTTGGCCTTTTCCCAAAGAACACCTTGATTTCCAGGGGTTCTAGACCCTGGGCATGGCTTAAACCAGTGGCTTTCAAAGTGTTGGCCCCAGCACTTGTAGCACAAGCTTCCCCTGGCAACTTTTTAGACTTGCAGATTCTCTCTCTTTTGAAATGTAGTTTCATGGAAAAAGAGAAAGAAAGATGGAAGGAAGGAAGGAAGGAAGGAAGGAAGGAAGGAAGGAAGGAAGGAAGGAAGGAAGGAAGGAAGGAAGGAGAAATGCAGATTCTCAGGCCTGGCTCCCAAATGAACCAGATACTCTAGGGTGGGGCTCAGCAGTCTGTTTTAGAAATGCTTCTAGGTTATTCCAACATACACTCTAGTTGGAGAACCACTAGGTTACGGGATGTGGGAAGGAGTCATCTTTGAATTTGGAGCCATTCCCATCTAAACTAGAGAAACTAAGCCTCTACAAGAGCTGGCGACCAGGTTGTTGCCAGAACTTGAACGTTTGGCTCTGTATTATCTTTCCTGTCCCTAAGCCAAGTCCGGAACCCGGGGTGTCCCAGCTCACACTGCCTGAGCTACAGTGATACAAGAGTGTGGCTTAGCTCCCCAACAGGAGGGGGCCATTCAGCACACTGACTTCACGAATATTTGTTGAGTAAATGTGTTTGCTCCTAGAAAGTGGGATCCAGGTAACACCTTTTTTTTTCTCTCCCAACTGCTCCCAGCTCGGTGCTGTTTACATAGTGAGCACTGAATACATAACCACTGAATGTTGATCCAAACAACTCATGTTCCTCCTCCAAGCTTTAGGTCTCTCATCTTAAAGTAAGAAGATGATATCGATGGCTGGCCTTAGATCTCTCATCTCCAGTGCTCCAGATTAACCTATGCTTCTCTATTTGGAGATGTTCTTACCCAGAAACTGGCATAGGGCTCCTGTAATTCACTAAGTATCAGCCTGACAGAGTGGAGAAGAAAGGGGAAAAAAATCAAGATTTTAAAAAATTTAGCTAGAATGTATATGTGGTTCCCAAAGATTACTGCATAATTATTAACATTCTCTCTTCTCTTTTTCCTTCCTCTCCCTTCTCTTTTCCTCTTTTTCTTCCTTTTGTTTTTCTCTGTCCTTAAGATGTGTCATTGGAAGCTGGTCATCTCCTGGTTCTGCCTGGTTTTGCTGGCATCTCCCCTCTCGGCCATCTGGGAACTGGAGAAAGATGGTAACCAGCCTTTTCTTACTCTCTAGGGCAGCCCCAGAATCTAAGCAGGACTCTCAGGCCGCCTCTGGCGGGAAATCAGACAGCAATGAGTGACCATGCATTGGGTCCCCCTAGTGAGAACCGTCCCCTGGGAAAATGCAAGGCCACAATTTCCTCTTTCACTTTGTAGATATCCATATCATTTGGTTTTCACATTGGATGCCAGAAAAGGAGCTTTTTTTCTGGACTGCGTTGGGAAAGGAGATATGGTCTTTGCCAGTATTACCAAAACCCAGCTGTTTCATACAATTAAAGTTCCAAAGTGAGGATTTGAAAAGTATAACAACTATATCCTACCATTTCCCATTCCACCACAAGATATTGCCGCTTCAGCAGGCACTGTGATGAGCCCACCTCTTAACTAAGCTCCTTGGAGAACGCATAGGATTTACACTCACATTGACTTGGGTTCAAGTCCTGGTTATGTGACCTTGAGCTAGGTCACCAAGGAGCCTGAGTTTTCTCAACTGTAAAATGGTATTACAGTGACACCTAGCACATGGGTTATTAAATGTGTTAATGAATACAGAAGGCACCAGATGATAACATGAAAGTAAATGTTAGTTAGTATTGTTCTTTTGCTCTCTGATCATTCAAGAGAAACTTCTTATTATCCTAATGATTGATAAAAATGATTAGTAGACTAATAGAATGGGTACTAGTAAAAGAAGTTTTCCTCTATCCTTCTAGTATCTCACACCCAGTAAATATGCATTAACTGATTGTTGGTTGTACCTGAAAGACCTTCAGATGTTTCTCATGAAGCCACCATAATAATGTTGGCAATTAGTCCTTAATTATATAATGATAATAGTTACTATTTATTGAGCACAGTATCTCATTTAATTCTCACGACCACCATATGAAGTCGGAACTGTCTGTAACGCATTTTATAGATATTGAAAATTAAGGCTAAAAAGATTAAGTGACTTGCCCAATCAATATCACGTACCTGGTGAGGGTAGGACAGGAACTTGATCCCAATTCTGCCTCACTTCCAAGCCTGTGCACTTAAGTATTTGAAGATTTTACAAGGACATGAAGCAATTATTTCCTGTGTCCGTGGAGAGCTGAGCGAGAGGGAATAGGCATAAATTAAAGATGATAGATTTCAGCTGATGATCAGAAATAATCTGTTGATAGTCAGAAGAGTACAGCACTGAAACGGGTGCCTGAGAGAAATTTGGGGCCATTGCTGTCTTCTTAAAAATTTTGAGGAGACAGCAATCCAGCCTACCCCACCCCCGAACCCCATGAGGGTTTGAGAGTCTCAGACCCTTGGTTATGTAAAGGCAAAGGCCTGAGCCATAGGGATTTTCAATGAGCTCGGGGAAACTTGGCCCTTGTCTATTTAACCCCTTAGTTACTTTTGATTTGGTAAACCACAGAAATTCCAGAAAGTCAATGTGAGAAACACTCCGGGGGCTTGTGACTCGGGAGGCTGGATGATGCAGCGAAGCTAAGCACTAGCTTCGTGGTGCGTTTCATCCGCTTTGCTCTTGTGGCTCTGTTCTCTGCCCCTGGGCAAGGGTCTTCTGGACTTCTTGAGTCCTAGTTGTGAGGGAAAGAAACCATGCTGTTCAGTCGCCTGGGAAACAAAGAAAAAGTAGAAAAAGCCAAAGGTGCCACGAGGTTCTATGTCAGCACAGCTAATCATACCCCGAGTTGGGACCCAAGTGCTTTGACCTCTTATCTTTGTTACCCATTCGGTCCTTAGGAATCTCAATGATGTAAATCGAGAACTTTATATTCCACAATGCTTTACACTCAAGGCCAATATCGAGAACCTCCATTTATAGGGTACTGAAAGGTGCTCTTGTATGAATTAGCCTATGTAACCCAAGTATCGACCTTCTGAAGCAAGTACTAATATTTGTCTCATTTTAAAGATGAAAACACCGAAGTTTAGAATAATTGAATGGCTTGCTCAAGACCACCAGGCTGGTGTAAGGGCTAGATCTGATTCCAAATCCAGACCCGTGCCTCTCCAGGATCCAGGTTTTCAGCCATTGTGACTCACGAACTTGAGCAGGCATCAAAACCATCTATGGAGCTTAAAAACAGGTCACTGGGCCCATCCCAAAGTTTCTGATTCAGCAAATAAGAATTTGCATCTCTAATAGCTTCCCAGGCGATGCTGCTAATGGCATTTCAGTGATCATTCTTTGAGAACCACTGCATTACACTATTCTATTCGATTAATAATGGATGCATGGATAAACGAATGTGTGAAGCTTTGATATGGCACACTCTTTGAAATACTACACTAAGCCGTTCCTCAAGGGCCAGTTTAGATAGTGGCATTAGATACCCCTTGCAAAGCCTAAGAGACGGGAGGTCTGGGCTGTAGCTCTTGTTGTACTTCTATCTTAATATGATCTTGCTTTGACCCTTGGCCTCAGTACCCTCCTTCATAAAATGGGAAGAGTAGGATCTACTGGGCTGCCTCCCAAGAGTGTATGAAAACTAAAAAAAAAAGAAAAAAATACAGAGAGAATTGAAAATCTCCACTGAATTTCATGCAAAAGGAACTAAATCCTTAAATCCCCATGGAAAATTGTTAAGAGGGTTTCTTGGTGCAGTTGGCTGACTCTTTAGTCTGTGAGTAACAATAACCAACACAGAATTTACCATGTGCAGACACTGTACTAAGTGCTTTACATGGTTTTTGCCTTTAATTCTCTGCCAAACCTATGACATAGATATTATTATTATTGATGTTATCATTTTACAGATGAGGAAACTGAGGCTCATGGTGATTAAGTGCCTTACTCCAAGTCCAGCCAGTTAGTGGAGACAGGATTTCAGTCATGGTCAGTCTTTCCCAACACCCTGAGCTTTTAACCACTATGTAATTTTGCTAAATACTGTACCCTGTCTTATTCCCATCTGCCAGCTAATCAGAGGTTCCTTATGAAAGGCAGCTATAAAACTCTTAGTTTCTCTGTTCCATGACCTTGAGCCCAAATGGGGCCCATTGCCCTGAGATCATTTCAGCAGGCATTCGCCAAACACTTGTTATGAGCAAGGTTGTTTTAGGCAGTGGGGGTGCCCAAATAGTTAATAAAACACAGCCCCAGGGTCATGTTGCTTGCAGCCTGGTCTCTACTCCTTGTGCTCTACAGTTTATGTTGTAGAGTTGGATTGGTACCCTGATGCCCCCGGAGAAAGGGTGGTCCTCACCTGTGATACCCCTGAAGAAGAAGGCATCACCTGGACCTCAGACCAGAGCAATGAGATCTTAGGCTCTGGCAAAACCCTGACCGTGCAAGTCATAGAGTTCAGAGATGCTGGCCGCTACACCTGTCGCAAAGGAGGCGAGGTTCTGAGCCACTCGCTCCTGCTGCTTCACAAAAGGGAAGATGGAGTTGGGTCCACTGATATTTTAAAGGACCAGAAAGGTAATTCTCTCGGATAGTGTCAATTTTCTCTTTCGCTCGTAAGAGATATAAAAATAAAAAATTGAAAAGGCAGGACATGATTGGTGCAGTTAATGGGTTAACATCAAGTCTTTTATTGAAACTACCGAGGACCTCCATTTTCATTTGCTTTCCTGGACCCTTTGGGTTATCAACCATCAAAATCTTATATTGAGAGCTTCCTAGTCAGTCTGAATGGTTGTCCTGAGGTTCTCTTTAAATAGCGGTGGTATTATTGGATGGCTAATGGAAATTAACTGATGTGTATAGTGTATAATTCAGCAGTGGTGTGGCAGGCTTGAAAAAAATTAACACATCCGACCGATGTGTTAGGTGCGTAGTGTACTCTGAAGAATCAGGACCCAACTGGGACACCCCCAATCCTCACTGAACCACCCAACAGGGGAGCAGCAGCATTTTCCCAGGAAATATTATAAATGGAAGAACTTTACCCTGGTCCCATTTGGTGGCCTGTGATTCATCACAATCACAATCTTTCTGAAAAAAAAAAAAAAGACAAGAAAGAAAAGAAACCCACTAAATAATGAATTTTTGTTCTTTTCAAATCCAGAACCTAAAAATAAGACCTTTCTAAAATGCGAGGCCAAGAATTATTCTGGACGTTTCACCTGCTGGTGGCTGACGGCGATCAGTACTGATCTGAAATTCAGTGTCAAAAGCAGCAGAGGGTAAGTGAAAGCACTCTGGCTTCTCAGCATTTTGCTAAAACTATTTCATTAAGAAAATAAGGGTGACCTATCAGCGACTTATCATCGGTTAATGATATGGGGAAGAACAAAGTCAAACACATATTTTTTCAACCCCCCGCCTTTCTTGCCTAAGTTGGGGAAAAAAGCACAGAGATTGAAGCCAGTCGCATGAATGAGTAAATGCATGTGTTAGAACAGGATATTATCACGATTTGAGAATGGCCTCTGCTGTGTTTGAGCCTGCTCATCTCTCTTGCCTGGCAATGCTTCTTTTAGGCTCATAGCACCAGGGGAAGGGATAAAAGGAGAGTTCAAACCTATGAATGACTTGCCAAAACTGCACTTTAAGTCAAAAATAAACAAAAAAGCTCTCTAGTCTAGGGCGTAGGTCTTGGAAGGCCTAAAGCAGACTCCAAAACTCTGAGGCCTCTCGGAACTTTCCCAGGGCCACCTCAACTCCTTTTATTGCCACTGACACCACAAATCTGAAGTTCGCTGTTTGTCCCCCACACTTGGACTTTCCCTAAGAAACCAGTTTTCCTGGATGCAGGACCTGTGTTAGCCCCCATGTGACTTACTTTAATCATCATCTAAGTTCCTGAGCAATGTAGGACAAGGGAGCAAACCCTAGGTGATCACGTGGTTTTGCCATGGTTTAGAGTAACTTAAGCTTTGGGATCTCACTTTCCCATCTTTAAAAGGAAAATGCTTATTAAAGAAATGCTTCTACAAGTGCACAAAGACATAGGTACATGTGTTCATTGTGATGTTTTTGCTAATCAGCAGAGAACAGTTAACAAAAGCATGGTACACTATTCTCTGACTTACTGTGCAGTCTTTAAAGCCAATAACTCAACCTGTGTTTTGAGGTGGAGAGCTCCCCATAAAATGTTCAGAGGAAAAATATCATCATAAAATTATATATACATATATAATTTGATCCTATTTCATTAAAAATGAAATCTACATGTGTATTTATAGGTAAAATATATATATATACATGTAGAAATAATGATTATCTTGAATATTCATTGAGAAAAGTCTGGAAGGATGCAGCAAGCTCTGAATAGTATTTATATCTGGGGGGTGAGTTTAGGGTTAATGGAGGGATGAAGAAGGCACACACTTATTCCCACTATATAAATCTTCATCATATTAATTTTTACAATTAGCATATATTGATTTTTGTAATTAAAATTATAAAAATGAATTTAAATTTTTAATTTTAATTAAATCAGAGACTGTGAATCTTAAAAAACTTCCATATTCATTTAGGCCAGAGACAGGTGCAGGTTTCTAAACATTTGTGCCGTCTCTTGAAGATAAGTTTATTCTCCTGGGGAAGGCGGTTTCTCAACCCCTGGGTAGAAAATTGTGACCTCGGACAGGCAGCTAAGGCCTTAGCCTGCCTCGCTGGCCACGATCAGTAGGCACTCGCTGGCCACGATCAGTAGGCATCCGCTGGCCAATGTGCGACCACAGAATACTTTCTGTCTTTGACTCCAGCTCCTCTGATGCCCAAGGGGTGACATGTGGAACACCCACCCTCTCTGCAGAGAGGGACCGTGGGGAGCATAAGAAGTTCTCGGTGGAGTGTCAGGAGGACAATGCCTGCCCAGCCGCCGAGGAAAGCCTGCCCATGGAGGTCGTGCTGGATGCCATTCACAGGCTCAAGTATGAAAACTACACCAGCAGCTTCTTCATCAGGGACATCAGTGAGTTTCGGATCATTTGTCACATGGTCGCGATGTCCCATGCACAAGGGTAACAGTGCGTGGGGGTTTCCAAGTATCATCTCTCTTATTTTGCACCTGGAAGAGAAATAATGCGGATACTATTATCTGCATTTCTTTTCTTTTCTTTTCTTTTCTTTTCTTTTTTTTTATTTTGACATATGATGGGGGTACAGATTTTAAGGTTTCAATAAATGCCCTTTCCCCCCTTCCCCCACAAGTCTGAGTCTCCAGCATGACCATCCCCCAGATGGTGCACATCTCATTGTATATGTATATACCCGCCCCCCTCCCACCTGCCCAATACCAATTACTGTAGTACCTATGTGTCCACTTAGGTGCTGCTCAGTTAATACCACTTTGCTGGTGATATTATCTGCATTTTAAGGAAGAGGAAACTGAGTGTTAGAACGGTTAAGCAACTTGCCCCAGATCTCACAGCTGGCAATTCAGACCCGGCTCTGCCCTGCGAGGAAGAGCAGGCTCTTTGCTGTGCTGCAGGTCTGCTGCCCGCGTAGCTTCCATGATAAATCTCAGAGCCCCTCCCGCATAATATGTATATTCCAAACCAGGCCCTCCCTACTAATTTGCAATTACTCCCAACCAATCTTTCTTTAGCATTTGCAAAGGGATTTCTTTATTGGAATATAAACCCCTCCGAAATGGACATCTATTTTTTTTAAATTGGCAGACAGAGAATTCACCGTTAATCATTTCCTTTACTGTTTACTCATTGACCAAGCATCATGATAAAGTGTGATAGGGCCACAGGACTCGCTCTAGGATTCGTGGAGAGTTTGTACTTGGTGGGTGGGGGAGGGTGGGGTCAAGTTCACAGGGGGTGGTGGGGGAAGGTCTCTCTGAGGAGGTAGCAGCTAGCTGACGCCTAAAGGAAAGATGTCAGTTGTGTCCAGAGCAGAGGGAAGCTCCTGCTGGGAGCTGGGCTCCGTGCATGCAGCAGTGCTGCCCCACAGAGCCCAAGCACACGCCATAGCTCATCTCTCCCTCCTCTTGTCCAGAAGAAGGTCTCCAATTCAAGGAGGGAGTCTTGGTGATACTGTTGTATCCTCCACGCTGGAACATCATGAGTGCTCAGTAATTATTCATTGAATAAATAGAGCATAGAGACAGCTGACTACAACTGCTACAAGATAAGTCAGTGCCCGAAGCTATGAAAAGACAAAAGAAAGGGCAGTAAAGGGGAAACCTCTCATCTTGTCCCCAGCGAGAGGCTCAGCTGCATTCTGCATCTGGTGCAAAGTGAGGGCTTAAGCATGAGAGGGTGGTCTCTGTCTGCATGGCCCAGACCTGAGAGGCTTCTGGTCTCGAAGGACTTTCTTCTGAGCACTAAGCAGAGGTGGTTCCAGCGCCAGGGCCCGTCTGATTGTGCAGTGAGGAGGAGTCTGAGATCTCCCAGGTGCCGCAGTAACGGAGATGGCCTTTGATGACAACTGCCTTCCCGGGGCATCGGTGTGAGCCCCAGAGGCAGAGGGGCGTCCCACGTGCCAGCCGGGGGCTCAGGGAGCTTGAGTAACTCTCCAGTGGACTCCCCACTGGGCAAAGGTGCAAGTGGGATCAGAAGCTAAAACCGCCTACCTTCGAAGCCCCGTTAGGAAAATAAAGGGTGTTTATGCTCTTCCGCAGTCAAACCCGACCCGCCCAAGAACCTGCAGCTGAAGCCGTTAGAGAATCCCCGGCATGTGGAGGTCAGCTGGGAGTACCCCGACTCCTGGAGTACTCCGCATTCCTACTTCTCCCTGACGTTCAATGTTCAGGTTCAGGGCAAGAACAAAAGAGAAAAGGTAAGAAGGGGTTCGGGTGCAGGATAGCCCGTGGTCAGGTTTATAGGGGCCCACACCGGGGAGAAGATGAATAGCGATAATCGCAGCTACAGCCGTGCATCACTTAACAATGGGGACACACGTTCTGAGAATCCCGTCATCGTGCAAACATGATGGCATGCCTGTCCTAGGCCGTATGGTATAGCCTGTTGATCCTAGGGTACAGACCTGTACAGCATGTCACTGTACCGAATACTGTAGGCAAGTTTAACGCAATGGGGCATATTTGTGCATTTAACATATCTAAACATAGAAAAGTTACAGTAAAAATACAATATTATAATCTTATGGGACCACCCTCATCTATATGGTCCTTCTTTGACTGAAACATTGTTATGTAGCACATACTGCTTTTTTTTTTTTTTAGCACTTTCCATGTGCTAAAAACTATGCCAAGGGTTTTCCATGTCTATTTCACTCTATCCACAAAATTAAGCCTACGAAGACAGCCAGTATTATTATCACCATTTCGCAAGTGAAGACATTGGAACTCAGAGAGGTTAAGTGACTTGCCCAAGGTCACGCCGCTAGGAAGTGACAAAACCAGGACACAAACTCAGTCTGCCAGACACAAAGTCCATGCACCTAAGCACCCCACCATCACCAGTATGGTTGACCAATTGATCGTGGCACTCAGAATTCATCCTGATATAGGACAGACACCTGGGCTCCAGGAGCCTTAAATTACTGCTCCAGCTGAGTACATATAATGAATGATAGAATGTGCATGCCGTATCTCACCCATAATGGTGAACCCCCAGCTCTTCCAGATATCGTGAAATTATTTTACTAAACAGGATGTCAACACTTACATAGGTTAAGACAATGTCTTTCCAACTTTCATGCCTTAGATCTGAATCTCTTTGCCTCTTACGAGGTTCCAGAGGCACATTTCCAGAGCCTTAGCCTCCTGTGACCCCACTTTTAAAGTCACTAGACAAAAGATCTCATTCAGCATAGCATTTAGCATGTGGTAGAAACTTAATGATTCAGTCAGTCCCTGGGGAGGGAAAAAAAAACTGGGGGTTTGGGAGGGAAGAGGCTATTCTGGAATAGATTTTACCTAAATATTTTTTAAAAACTTGGTAAGTATCTTCTATATTTAAGATATACATCATTAATAGTTGAGTACTTTCTATGTGCTAAAGACTTGCTAAGAGTGTTACGTGATTACTACCTGTAACTTTTACAATGCTATGAAGTAGGCATTACTGTGATCCCTCTTTATAAATAAGGAAACAGACACAGAGGACCTAAGACATTTGCCTGACGTTCCCCAGCTATTAAGTAGCAGTGCCAGGATTTGATGGCAGCTTTGTCTGATGAAAAGATCAAGCTATATAAACTCATGAAGTTGGGGAGAAAAAAAGAAAAGAAAAGATCAGGATATGGTATTTCTGAATATTCAGGGGATGGCTGGAGAAAATCTGTCTCAGTCCTCCCATCAGCCTAGGACTAGGGTGACTGCCCACGGGGCCGTGGGGCAAGGCAGCTGTGCTGGACCGATGAGACCTGGGCCCCACGATTTCTCCCTCGAGGCTTACAAAGTAGAAAAGCCACTTCTGTGTTCGTAGCTTCTGCCAGTAGGTGGCGCAGGTTCTACGCGCTCCCCTGTGTATTGCAAGGGGCGTGCCCTAAGACAGGGGTGTGCTTGCTTGGCGAGTCCGTGCTTTGCAGAAATGAGTTCGGCCTGCCTTGTGTCTGCATTGCCAATGGACAGTGGACCTTCACGGATTTCCTTCTCCTTAGCAGAAAGATACAATCTCCACGGACAAGACCTCAGCCACGGTCATCTGCCAAAAGCATGCCAACGTCCGCGTGCAAGCCCGGGACCGCTACTATAGCTCCTCTTGGAGCGAATGGGCGTCTGTGCCCTGCAGTTAGGTGAGCAGGCCCGGGAAGCCCGACCCAAACGTGCACAATCAGTGTTTCCAGGTGCAGGGGAAAGGTGGGGACTGTAGGGGAGAGGAAAGGGGGATGGGGTGTCCGGCACAGAAAGCTGCCAGTATCAGAAATGTACATTTGCTCATGAACAAGTAGTTATTTGCTGCCTATGTTATGTCTAGCACTATGCTGCAGTTAAAAAAAAAAAAAAAAGAGGCGTGAGTCCTGCCGTCCTAGAGGGGAAGGCCACGAAGAGAAAGGGGCAGCCAGGAGTCAGGGCATGCAGGACTTGCAAGCTTCCACGAGATAGAACCTTGTATTGGGAGCCCCGGGGAGCCACTAAAGGATTTTCAGCAAGGATGGCAAACATGACACAGCCAGATTCTAGGCCACATAAGGAGGCCTGGGCCTTCTGACATGAAATCTTCAAAACCCAGCTGTCTGGGATAACATGCTATTAGGAAGAAGATTGCTGCTGCATGTCCATCCCACCTAGACTTTCGGCATTCTTTTTCAGGTTCCTGTCCCAGGATGAAACCTTGGAGGAAAAGTAGAAGACAGTCAGCAAAGCTTTTTAAAGACACAATGGAAAAGACCCAAAAAGATATTTTCCACTTGATTTGCTTTTTAAAAATATTTTTTTAGGATCGCCATGATGTCTTTGCCCTATTTTTATAGGTAGATGCTAACTGCCCACAGAAACAACCAAGCTAATCTACATATAGATTTTCCAGCTATCAAGTTGCCACTGACCTTAATGCTATTTAAATATTTACATAATTTATATATTTATTAATTTATTACTGTTATTTAACATTTGTGTGCCAGGATGTATTGAATGTGTCATACTCTCGTGGCCCGATCCACAAGGATCAAGGCCCCTGTTATGCGAAATGTGAATTTAAGTGTTATTTATACTGCAAGCAAGGCTGCAAGTACATCAGTTTTATGACAACCACTAAGAACACAGTATTTTGATACCAGTGCCATCATATATTTGTGAAGGATGGGAACACAAGGGACATTTAATTAGAGATGTGAAGACACAGGCCTGTTGAGAGAATCCTGGAGGAGGGGATTCTAGTTCCCATATCCACGAAGATGGCCTTGAAGTGTTGTTGACAAAGCAATTCAGGGCCACCTGTACTTCTAAGCAAGTTTAGTCTGTGGATGCGTGAATTTTAAAAGGGCTACAAATAAAATGATTGAAATTAAAATTCAGCTTCGGCTTCAATGGCAATCCCTGCCCCTACCTCTATGTAAGACACAGGAGGGTGGCACAGAGACCTCATAAATGTCTGGAAGCTAAAAAGATCTTAGGATTCAAGAGGGAAGACAAGCGTAGTTATGGCTGAGGATATGAAATTGTCAGAGTTGCAGGAGGCTTCTTAACAGCCACATGGGAAAGCAGACAGATGCAGAGAAAACAATCTAGAATGGTTCCTCATCAGCATGAGGGAACCTGACATGCAGCTAGGACCAGAAAGTGTACCTCTGCGTAGGCGCTACTTTTAAGTAATGACTGTGCTGTCTGTAAATACGTTTGTTTTCTGTTTATTTTTCTATATTTTATTTTTCTATTTATTTTTGCATTCTGAAGCCAGACTAATAAAAACTCTTTCTTTGCAATCCTATGTTGTGCTTTCTTGGCTGAGTTAGATACGCTGTTTCCAAGTCTACCAGGGGTGCATTTTTTCCCCCTATCATTTAAGAATTGCTCTGAAATTGAAGTCATTTCATTTTAAGTTTTGCAGAGTTGCTGTTTCCCTTGATAGCAGCTGTCCCCAACCTTTCTGGCTCCAGGAACAGGTTTCATGGAAGACAGATTTTCTATGGGGGGGGGTGGGGAGAGGCAGTGATGCAAGCAATGGGGAGGGAGCAGCTGTAAATACAGATGAAGAGTTGCTTGCTCATTGCCACCCCCCCACCAAGTTTCATGGAAGACAATTTTTCCACGGTGGGGGCCGGGTTGGGCAGCAGAGCTCTGCAGCCTGGTCCCTAACAGGCCATGGACCTACAGAGGTTGGGGACTGCAGCTTTATAGTATTTCCAAAGTCGGTGTCTTTCTGAGCTCATGGGATATCCCTGCAATCTGACCAGTGTCCCTTGCAAGGACACTGAACCACGGTGTCACATTGTGCCCTCTTTAGGGGCTGCTGCCCTGCTTCCTTTACCTTCTACCCTGGAATCGAACTCTACTGGTTGGCCCCAAATGGTGGAATACAACTCTACCCTGGTAGAGCCATGGACATGCCATCCCACAGTTCCAGCTCTGGTATTTCTTGAGGGTTTGCCATGTGTGTGGACATGTGCTAGCTCTTGGGGTTGGGGAGTTTCAACAAACCTTGTATTACCTCCCCCAAAGAGTGTCCACTCCTGGCCCTGCTTATAAGACAAGCATGAAAAGTTAACTTCAATACCATTAAAGGCTAAAATGTTCAGGATATACGGTGCCCTGGGATAAGAATGAGAAGGATCTGTGTAACTTGGGGTCACCCAAGAAGACTCAACAGAGAAGCACTTTCAGCCCAAAGTGCTTGCCCATTCCTCTCTGGTGCCTCCCATGGAAAGAGCATGTAGTGGGATCAGAGAGAATGCAGTCCAATTCCCTGCTATCTTAAAAATCCAGGTGTGTACATCCAGGCTTCCCTGCAATTCAGAGTAATTGTAATAAGTACATTTGTTTACATTTGGATTTTAAGTGTCCCCTACAGCTCTTATCCCACTCTGCCCCTGGCCTGGAGAAATGGTGGGACATCTCTGTCATCCTACTCTAATCTTTGAAACATCTTGTGCTAGGAGCTCACACTTAACAGCACAAGGTTGGTTAATAACAACTATCTGTCCTCTTACAGAGTCTTTCATCTAGAGTTACCAAAGCACTTCCTGGGTAGCAATGCTAATCAGAAAAGGTTAATAAATAATCACATTTCATAAGCACAGAGAACTGAGGCCCTTTCCCAAAACTTCTGGCCAGCCTAGGCAGAGCTCAGACAAATAATTTAAATGATTAAACCAAAAATTAAAGGAAACTTTAAGTTCCTAAACTTCCAGAGCCCCATCTGTGAGAGGCTTTGGGCCAAGGTAGAAAACAGACCCAGGTCAGCACAGAAAGGAACCTGGGGTTGGGTTTCAGAAAACCTGGTTCTGCCACTCACAGCTGGCACGAGGCTGGAGAAGCCAGGGCACATTTGATGGGGCCCTGGGGACACCTGCCTCCCTGACTTCTGTGCTGTGCGGGAGCCATGGAAGACATCGATTTGCAGGCCCCCCTCTGAAATCTACAAGGGTTGTACCATTAAGGATCTGTCAGTCATCTCCTTAGTCTAAGAAGAAAGTGAGGAAACTAACGGCCAAATGCAGTCATATAATAGAAGCTGTCTCATTAGGTCCCCAACCTCACTGAGAAGAAGAAACTCTCGCCCCCATTACTATGGATGAGGACACTGTGGCCAGGATGAGGGGCGCAGGGGTGGGAAGAGGGAGGCGGCAGGTTTGGGGGACCCCACAGGAAAGCACCTCTGCTGTTCTTTCACTCAATATTTTTGGAGTTGGGGCTCTTTCCCTGACACCATCCTCAACTTTCCGGATACAGGGGTGAACATGACCCTGCCTTCACATGGTTTCTCTCTAGTCTCCAGAGGACCAAATGCTTGACATTTTAAGCACTGGAGGCCACTTCTTAAGGGTTCAGAGCACCATTAAATGAGAGGATTAATTTAATACAATTGGCACAGCGCCTGGCCCACAGGAAGCACTTGGCAAATGGTAGCTATTTCCACCGACCTGTCTGTGGTCTTGGAACAAGTTGCTTAATGTCTTAAAGACTCAGTCTTGCCATCCTTAAAATGGAGCAATAATAATATCTACCTCATAGGGCGGTTGTGAGGATTCAATGAATAAATGCTCACAAAGTGCTTAGGAAAGTTCCCGATTTACAGTAAGTACTCAATAAAAGCTTATTGTTATTTGATCTATCATACCACTTAGAGCCTGAACCCAGCATCTTTCTGGACCCTGTGCTTTTTGAGGGGTTGAAGGATGGAGGGATGGTTGTTACCTTGGTGTCGCTGAGACCTGGGTTGTTACGGAGAGACCATTAATCGGCCTACAGGGAAACCAAGGGAAGGCTTGGTTTGGGGGGTTGGAGGGGAAAACGTGGCTCAGCCCACTGAGATTTAAAAGCCTCTTCAGGCTGGGCGCGATGGCTCACGCCTGTAATCCTAGCACTCTGGGAGGCCGATGCAGGTGGATTGCTCGAGGTCAGGAGTTCGAAACCAGCCTGAGCAAGAGCGAGACCCCGTCTCTACTAAAAATAGAAAGAAATTAATTGGCCAGCTAAAACTACATAGAAAAAAATGGCCAGGCATGGTGGCGCATGCCTGTAGTCCCAGCTACTCAGGAGGCTGAGGCAGGAGGATCGCTTGAGCCCAGGAGATTGAGGTTGCTGTGAGCTAGGCTGACGCCACGGCACTCACTCTAGCCTGGGCAACAGAGTGAGAAAAAAAAAAAAAAAAAAAAAAGCCTCTTCAGTGTAAAGTTCCTTTCTCATAAGTAAAATTGCAAAAACCTGCCCATGTCGGGAATATCAAGATGCGATGAACCCAATTCCTGCCTTCAGAGATTGTACAGTCTGGTGAGAAAGAGCAGGGAAAGCATGGTGACTATGATAAAATACAGCCTGGCTGGCATGAAGGTAGGTGCACCATAAATACTTCCTTTTGCAAAGGTTCCCAGCTCCTGGGAGGAGCACTTTCAGTCCCTTTCACCTCCCTGGATGAAATAATTTGGCATCAACCTACCAATTCACCTTTCCTATAAATCAGACTTAAATCATCTTTATTTCGTTTCATTACAGCCCTTCTTCCAGGACAGCGTTTGTGAGCAAAATGTATTTGGACAAGACTTTCTCCAGAGAGTCATATTATACCAAGGAAATGAATTCCCTCTCTCAGGCTCATAAAATGCAAAAATAAAATCAGCATTCAGGCTGCGGGGCGGAGGAAACCAGGCGCGCATACTGAGCACCCGCCTTCTGCGGGGCTGATTTGCATTTACCTTCACGCAGGCCTGGGCTCCGGGCTCGCGGGGCGTTCTGGCAGCCCGCCCCCCTCCGCGGTCTGCGCAGCCTCTGCCGCGGGGGATGCCGGGGAGCGCCGCGCTGCAGGGCTCTGCAGCTGCTCACTAAGCCCCCGTGTCCCTTTTCATAAGGAGCACAAACCGTCTTTCCCGGTCCTGCGCCCCAGCCCCACGGAGCAACGTCCCCAGCTGCTTGCAAAAGGAGCTAACCGAGAGCCAGGGGATTCAGAGGAACTAAATGATCTGCCATTGGCCCTGGGGTTTGGGGAAGAAGGAAGATCGGGGACAAATCTTGGGCAAACCAGCGTTCAGTGAGCTTCCTCCTTCCCACACCCAAAACCCAAACAGGTGCAACAAAGTCGAAAACAGCAAGCAAGTGACGCCTGCCAAGGGCCCAGAGCATGGTCTGTGAAGCTGATCTTGTAGCAGGGCGGCCTGCTACACACCCCAATTCCCCACTTAGCAGCTATGAGCTGTTAGCAATCCCCAATCTCTTTGTGCCTCAGTTTCCTCACCTCTAAAAAAAGTATGCTAATAGTGCCACCACCTCCCAGGGTGCTATGAGAGTTAAACGAGACAAGGCTCACAGCACCCAGCATCTAGCAAGCCCACAACAAATGTGAGTTGCGGTTGTTGTTTACCCAAAGTCAGGCTGAAAAGGAAAGGCAATCCTAAATCCTACCTCTTCTTCCCTCCCCATAGAGAGAGGGTTGGCTTTGGCTATGTACCCAAGCCTTCCAGTCCTAACTCAGAAAGCTATGGCCTCCCACCCTCCAGCCCTCTCCTGGGCACACTGCCAGCACACAGCAGGGACATCTCCCCGGAATCACAGCACCCAGAGCAATGCCCTATTTCAGCAAACCATCGCATGGGTTTCTTCTCGACCTTCTAGAACATTCTCCAGCAGTGGCTTGCCCATTTCTCTAAAAATCTCTGTTTGTTGCATGTTTGGGGTGCTTAGAAGCTAGCCAGACCAATGGTCCCCCAACTTGTTAAATCAGGGTCCCTTTGTTCAAATGGAAACCTTAAATGAAATCCCAGCATACACAGGGAGTGGGGAGGGTGGTAGCCAAAAGGCTTTAGTTGTGTCTGCAATGTCCTAATTTCTCACAGGGAGACTATGTTAGTATAGTTGTTGCATAATTAAAGAGTAATGTTTTATAAAGTCCTATATGTAGAGCAGACAAAAGCAGAGCTGCTCTGGCTGACACCTCCCACCCACTCAGCGCCACCCCCCATTCACCACTGTGAGCCTGCAGGCCCCTCCTCCGCACCCCTAAATGCTGAGGAGACAGTTTGAGAACCTCTAGCTTGATAGATGAGGAAATTGAAGGCCAGAGTTGGTGCCCTGACACCCAGAGCCCGATTCATGCCAGGGCTCAAATTTGAACCTGGGTCTCCCGACTCCTATTTTGGCTGTTCCTGTTATATTAAGTCAAAATTCCCAGAAGATTGCCATTCAAATGACCAGTCTATCACCAGAGAGGAGCAGCACATTAAAACTTAAGAGT